CAGGGCAGACATGGACCTGCTGGAGCGGGTCCAGAGGAGGCCACCAAAATGATCAGGGGGGTGGAACACCTCTGCCATGAGGACAGGCTGAGGGAGTTGGGGTTGTTCAGCCTGGAGAAGAGAAGGCTCCGGGGAGACCTTACTGCGGCCTTTCAGGACTTAAAGGGGGCTTATAGGAAAGGTGGGGACAGACTTTTTAGCAGGGCCTGTTGCGACAGGACAAGGGGGAATGGTTTTAAACTAGAAGAGGGGAGATTCAGACTAGATAGAAGGAAGAAATTGCTTACACTGAGGGTGGTGAGACACTGGCCCAGGTTGCCCAGAGAGGTGGTGGATGCCCCATCCCTGGGAACATTCCAGGTCAGGTTGGACGGGGCTCTGAGCAACCTGATCTAGTTGAAGATGTCCCTGCCCACGGCAGGGGGTTGGACTAGATGGCCTTTGAAGGTCCCTTCCCACCCAAACCATTCTATGGTTCGATGATTCTTCTTGCTCCAGAGGGACTGTTAAGAAGAGATCGCTCTGGTTTTATCATAATACTGTATTTGCATTTACCTGCTTCTTCAGCACCCACAGTTCGAGTTCATGTTTCTCTGGCTAAGAGAAACTAAGAGGGTGCAGCTCTAAAAAGCAAGCCGTTGAGCAGTTGCAAACCCCATGTGCCGTACGGCACAGGCACATGTAGGTTGCCTGCGGAGCCTCTCCGGGTGCCCGACGATGTGCTGGCCCCGTAGCCATGCTCGTGTCTCCGGTGCTCCAGCTGCGCCTCAGCTGGCGTGTGTGAGCTTGCTGCCTGCACGGCCCCGTGCCAAGGCACCCTCAGCACCCCAGGTAAAAATACTTCTTAAGGTTAGTTTGGAGGAGAACCAGTTCCTGGAGAGCACGGGAACAGCTCGATCCTTGCACCATGTAAGCATCGTAGCTTCACTACGCTACCAAGAGACCTTGCAGGTATTCGAAATTATTCATCGAGATCACAGATAAGGGAGATCTCAATTAGTGCTGGTATGAAACCTTGCAAGGAGAGCAGCTCAGCAGTTTTAAAAAAGAGCAGGGGGGAGAATTAGAGATTATAATCTTCACTCTCAGAAGATTTGGTTTCCATTTCAATAAGTGAGTCCTTGGCCGTCAGTGCCACATTCCCTCCCCTCCGGCTACGCAGAACACAGCGGCCTTAATTGGGCTGCTGGCTGGTCGCCTCCCCTTTGTGAGACCTTGCCAGTTTGTCTCTGTTACTATGAGCTGTTATT